TCTTAGGCAGTTTTGCGAGGCTTGTCTGAAAAGAATTTAGACTATCAATAATCCGTATGTCGTATTCTTTGACAAAAAGTTGCATAATTTTCTGGCCTGATCGAATGATCTGTGTATTGGCAGTTGGTCGATTTTTCATCAACCATTGTAAAATAAAGAAGCTGTCAAAGGACTTCGAATTGTGTGCAATGGCTGTAATTCCGGCGTGATCTTCACGGAAAAGGAATTCACAAAATTCCYGTAATGCTGAATACCCCTCAAAAATACTGACATCACCGACAAAGTCCTGCGCAACAGCAAAATTAACAATATGTTCTCCACTTGACTGATCTGTTTCGAAATCAAAACAAATTAACTGCTCTGAGGGAGATTTAGGCTTCTGAACTTGCATAAAGCACAAATGACTTTCAGAAACGAACCGCTTACAATTTTTGCAGAACCTTTCACCACACAGATGCGCTTGTTTTCGCTCTGTTCTGACTATGGCGTTACACTCGACACATCGATAAGTTGTCTCACACTTTGAAGGATAAACCCTGTTTCCACGAACATACTGTTTTTTATGAGCGTCATGACAAATGTGATCTCTACAAAATTTATGRCAATCTTGACATTCCATTAAATTGTCTGAGCGCAAACAGTTGCGTCGTTGACACGTTTTACACACATCTAAACATGGGTGCGTTCGGATATCGTGAAAAYATTTCTTGCATTTTWCACAATAATGTCGCCTTCCGAAAAAACTTGGTAAACGTTTAGRTACTAGCGTATCGAAATGATTTTCATTATGATAAAGTATAATCTTGTTTGTTTTCGAAGGACCTTCATACACAATCGCATTATTGGCGGCGAAACTATATACGATTATCTGAAAATCAGGCAGTGCTTTTTGAAACAAATCAACCTCTTCTAGACCACATTCACCAAATGGAACGTGCGCTTTTTGATGAAGCTCWATWGCTAAACGTTTTTGTATAGAACGGCCCATCTTGATCTGTCTTAGACGCGGATTACTTAAACACATTTCACGCCCCGTGATGATCGCCCTGGCACAGCATAAATYATCATTGCTCGTTATAGAAATCAAACTCTTCTTCATTTTCTTTTGCTTAGCATAGTTTAAGACCTTAAAACGATCCTTTCCCCGACCTCGGACTAAAGGCAACTTAACTGCGACTGTGTGAATTTCAAATGTTTCATCMWTGGGAATYGTTTCATCTGACTGCAGAACCTTACTTAGCTCAGATAAAATCATACTTGCATTTTGTTCTGAAACACTAATAAGACRGGTAGAAACGGGTTTCTTAAGATGTTTAGAATCTATCATTAACCTCATCTTATCTCTAGAACTATCTAACTCACACTTACGCTTAACATCCTGTATAACATCTGTAATTACGTTTTCCAGTTGGTTTAGACAATCTCTTAGCAAATTCCCTTCACGCTCATGCACGATCAATTTAGCTTTATACGAGCAACCATTAGCGTTGTATTTCTTGACCTCACGTTCTGAAACCTTGGACAGTTCGTATGTTATGGTGCGTTCGTCCGCTTGCTGTACTTCTTCTCTTTCACCACCATCACTACCTCCTTCTTCTGCTCCTCCTCTTTCTTCTCCTTCTTCTTCTTCTTCCTCTTCTTTTTCTGTTTTAGACACATCGTCTTTTCGCTGTTTTTGCAGGTTTTCATACTTTAAAAGCCCTGAAATAGTTTCATCTAACAATTTCGTGGCTCTTCCTTGGAGTTTTTGAACCTTATCTAGA